GCTGATAGTTAGAATTTGACAAAACCAATATGATTTAATTTGCTCAAATAAACTAAATCACATATTAAAAATCAACTTAAAATAAAGTGTTGGAATACTTTGAATTTGGGATGAGAAATCTTTTTATATTAGGATGACAAAAGTTTAAATTAAGAAATTTCAAGCAACACATTAAAATTTTAGAAATATAACAAATTTATAATATAGGTAATTTTAATAACGATTGAAATTATTATTAAATATTATGTTAAAAATAATATAGAGAGAAAATTTAATTTTTAATTTTGAAGATCGAGAAAGCTATTGGGAATTTTAAGACAATATCTATTAGCTTATTCGTTTTGGATCATGTTAATTTTCATATTATTTATAGCACAACCTATATAATTACGATATTTGAGTATTATTCAAAAGTTATTCGATAATTATATGATTCATTTAATTTAGTTCCAGTGATTTTTTATTATTGGATAGGTAAGACGATAATTATGATTTAGTTGAAACCATAATCTAACATGCTCAAATAAATTAGATTATACTTTGATAAGATTAATATTCTTTAGTAATGTCCGTGCATCGCGCGCGGGTCGTAATACTAGTATTATTAATATTAGCCAAATATTACCAATATTAGTCAATAGTTCTTTATAGACAAAAAAGGTTAAATTTTTGCTTTCTTTTGAGTGAGTGTTATTAGAATAGATTGAGTACATCTTAAGGAGCTTGAATCTAAGTTCTGGGATGATTTGGTGGAGTTTTGAGGTGGTTTGAATTAAAAATTCAAAGTAAAAGATGAACATGAAAGAAAAAATATATATATCACACTGCGTGTGATTCTCGGAGAGAAAGAATCTTATTTATTTAGGTTTTCAATTTTTATATATGTTTGGTTAGTTTTGACAAGTCTATGATTAATGCCTAGAAGTTGGTAAGTTAGGATTTATTTGGGACATTTCTGTAAGATTTCCTAAAAAATACACTCATTATATATGATTATATACATATTATTCATGAATTATACATATATTTTATATTTATCAACTATTTTAATTTAACTAATTGTGTAAGCAGCTATTTAGGTCGATTTTCTATTTTTTTCCAGTAGTGGAAGGAGTTTAATATGGGCTGGGTCCGGCCCGTTTTAATGTTACTAATTGTTTACAAATTCTCCCCTAAAGAAAAAGTTATTTTCAATTAGGTACATGAATTAGAAAGAGCATATATAAAGGGTAAAGGTACAAATTCTCCCCTATGCAATTTCTCAGTGCTCCATTCTCTGAAATCCTACTGTAAAAACCCAATTCAGCATTCCGGATTTTGGGAATGGACAGCGCGGCAAACTGGTCGGAGAAGGTGGAGGATCTCGTCAATGGCGGAGAAATCAATGAAGCCATTTCTTTGCTAGAAAAAATGGTTTCAAAGCTAGAAATGGAGTCCCAAACTTCTCCATCAGATTCTCAAATTGTTAAACAGTTATCTACTGCTCTACTGGATTTGTCCAAACTCTATTCTACTAAAGGCTTATCTTTACAAGCTGACCAGACGCGCTCAAGGGCATTTGTCATTAAACAGCAGCAAGATTCTATTAAAGAAAATAGGTCAGAATCCCAAAGATTTTCTTGTCCTTTTCTTTCGTTTGTTGCGAAAGAAAGGGGAAACTTTGCATTTCTTGAGTTTAAATGACATAGGTATCGATTATTCTTGAGCTTCTTATTCGGGTTTTGGTTTTCCAGGGATGTAAATGCAAACAACGAGTCAACTGGTGATGGAACTTCGGAAGGTGGGCTTTCACAAAACGAGGCTTTTGCATTTGATTAGTGGTCCTCTTTATTTGGTCTTTGTCTAGATTCTTGATTTGTTATTTGCTAAACTTTAAGTGTTCGATTAACTTCAAATGTGCTAAAAGGGGAATAGTGATTGCTTTCTTAACAAATATCCAAACTGCTATTCATATCAGTTACAATGGTCAACTTCTAATTATCCCAAATTTTTCCAAGTAAAACATTTTCCACGAAAAAATATTTTCGAATTTATTTCCTTCTTTCTGCATTTGTTGTTCTCCGACTTATAAGCATTGCCTCATTTTCAGGTGGTAAAGAGGATCACCTCAGCTTGCAAATTGATACCTTACAGAATGATGATGCGCCTGATGATGGTACATACCCTACCCTCTAAATTAGATACTCTTAAATGTCTTCATTGAACTTAGGCTATTATATTTGAAATGAGACCATTTGGAATTGGATATATGCAGTGTTTTGGAAAGCGTTAAGCGCAAAAAAGCGACGTGCCTCGCTTCACAGAAGCAAGAAGCGAAGCGCGCTTTTTTTTGCTTTGAAGCGCAATTTAACACATAGATGAAAAAAATAAAATAGGCATAGATAAATGGCTAAGAACTCATTAAAAATAACATATTAAGCAAATGTTTCAATTCTTGAATCAAGAAGCAAATAATAGATACTAAAACTAGATAGTGAATAATCCTCAAAAGTCATAACATATTAAGCAAGTGCAAAACAAAATCACAAAAGGAGCAACATCCTATTCTTCAACAAGATCTCCAAACTCTTGAAGTGTTATCATGTTCGATTATTATATTGGTCATCATCTTCTTCTTCATCGGAGGCTTCATTAATTAGGGTTCTACTTGTACATGTACTTTTACTTGTAGATACTCTTTCTTTGCTCCTTAAAGTACTTCCTCTAAAACCATAAACATTCTCTTCAACTCCACTTGCCATAGCAACATGACCAAAAGTGAGACTTCTCCTTCAAACACTTCTTCTTCATGATTTTCGGGGACTCCAGTTAATCATTCATTTGCTTCATCAATGTTATCCAATAAAATTGGATCAATGATATTGCGAGCTTTGTAACGACGAGCCAATGTTCTATTATATTTTACGAACACGAGATCATTGAGTTTCTTTAGCTCAAGTCTGTTCCTCTTCTTAGTATGAATCTGCATAATAAGATGTAGAAAGTAACTAAGAGGAGTACTTAGGACAATCGAGATAAACTTTAATTTAGTAATAATGTAATATAGCTTCTCACATGTTCATAAACACTCCAATTTCTCTCGCATCCGGATGAGCTACAAGTTAAGCTTTGAACTCTAATAGCAAATTGTTGCAAGTTAGGAACTTCATAACCAAATTGCATTCACCATTCAACTGTAGAAGTATTATTTTAAAAGTTAATAACTTGAAAGTTAAAGCTCTAAAGAGTAAAACAATTGAAAAAAATTGCTCACCTGGTGCCAATTTGGTTCTGCCTCTAATGGCCGAAGCTAATCCAAGAATTCCATCGGCTTGCATATACACACCAAGCTCTTGCCCTATTTTGTCTTGCATCGCTTCATCTGGCACCAACTTCGCAACACATGCATGATATCCCTTCCAAACGTTTAAATCTAAAGTCTTGTTCTCATTGTTTGTGTAAAACAATCCGGGGTTCAAAATATGCCCTACTGCATGTAAAGGTTGATGAAGCTGATCATCGCACCTTTTATCAATGATTTCAAACACTCTCTCATATTTCCTCCTATCATGATCAAATGTCTTCTCAATAGCTTCTTTAGCCCTATCCATGGCTTCATAAATGTATCCCATTGGTGGTTTTTTCTCCCCATCCACCAAACGAAGTACACTAACCAAAGGATTACCAACTTTAAGTGCTTGAACAGTGTCATTCCAAAAATATGGACCAATAATAAATCTCGCAACTTCTTTCCCAAGAGCTTCCTTTGCATAGATACTCACTCCATTCGGTTGACAAGACCAACGTTCGCAAATTTTGCTTTTGCAGGTAAAAGCTATGCAAGGTCAAGATAGATGTTGCGAATCTTGTCTTAGCCGGTTTCACCAAATTTCTTTGTTTTGTGTATCTCTTCATCATGTTTAACAACAACGACCTTTGACTAATGTAAGAATGTATCTTGATCGCCTTAGCAAAAACTGTACGAAGTCAAATTTCATAGTTAATAAGTATAAGCTATTAACATTAAGGTTAAAAACTTAAAATAGAAAATAAGAACCGCTTGTTCACCTGTAGAATATGGGGCTAACTTGAAAATGTCACCAAACATCAAGTTGATACAATGTGCAGCACAAGGAGTCCAATAAATATTTGGAAAAACTCCTTTCAACATGTCACCCGCTTTTTTATTCTCACTTGCATTATCAGTGACAACTTGAACCACATTTTCCGGTCCAACATTCAATATTGTCTTCTCACACAAGTTGAACATTTTATTGGAATTGGTTGAGGAGTCACTAGCATCATAAGATTCAAGAAACACACTACCTGTCGGAGAATTCACCGAAACATTAATGACCATTTTTCCATTTTTTGCAGTCCATTTGTCCATCATAATGGAACAACCATAAACTTTTCATTGCGCCTTATGCTCCTCGACAATCTTGTCTGTCTTCTCCACCTCCTTTTTTAGACAAGGAACTCTTACTTCGTGATATGTAGGGGGCTTCATTCCCGGGCCATATTGGCCAACGGCCTCAATGAATTCACCAAAACTATCGGTGTAATTCACACAATTAAAAGGGAGCCCCGCATCATACATCCACCTTGCAAAAGCGTCTACAGCACGCTCCCTCAAACTCTTCCTACAAGATTCTAACTCAACATCTTCACCCTTTCTCTTTTCATTTGGTTTTTGTGAGAAAAAAAGATTAAGAGGACCTTTCACATTTCTACCGGCGGTGGATGATCCACTTCCACTTGTTGAATTCTTTCTTTGAGATTTAGGGGGAGGTGGCCTCATTATATCATTGACTTCATCGTCATCCTCATCCATTTGACTATCTTCATCAAGAAGATTAATCATAGATGCTCCACGGCTCATTGGATTTTTTAACTCATTTTTTTTCTCAACATAATCTCTCATTTCTTTCTTAACAGTAACCGGAACACTTTGACATCTCTAAAACCACCGATTAGATGTCTCTTGTGACGATGTATTCCACCGTTATAAATTTTTTGACAAAAGATACATTGCACTCTTGAGTTATTATTGCCAACTGCAACTCCATACGCCCAAGCTGGATCTCTTTTTTGGCTTGATGCCATTGAATAATCAAATTAAATTTACTACAATCAACAACCAAAAAAATTACAATTAATTCACAGAACAAAATAGAAAACAAAGCATAAAGGGCACTTTTAATAACAGAAACAGAGCAGCATAACAGAAGAAAACAGAGCATAAAGAACACTTTTAATAACAAAACAAAAAGAAGCCATTTAGGGCAACATATGAGCGCTTAATCTGGAGAAAAAAATTGAAAGAAAAACAGAAGAGAAGAAGAATAACAGAAGAAGACAGAAAATAGAGCATGAAGAAGAAGAACAGGAGAACTGAAGAAATACTAGAAGTAGAAGAAGACTAGAAGAAGAACTGTCGCAGACTAGAAGAAAAAGAAGAAGAAGAAGAAGAAGAAACTTACCTGTTTTGGAGCAGCAGTGGTCTGTCGCAGACTAGAAGAAGACTAGAAGAAGAACAGAAGAAGAAGACTAGAAGAAGAAGAAGAACAGAAGAAGAAGAAGAAACTTACCTGTTTTGGAGCAGCAGTGGTCTGTCGCAGTGTCGCTGGAGTTCGCTGGCTGGAGAAGAAGACCAGCGTATGTTTTGGTAACAGATGCCTTTAGAGCGTATGTTTATTTGCCCAAAAATTTTAAAAAGCCCTAGCTTCAGCCTTCTGCTCGCTTAAGCGAGCTTTTTATCGCTTTTCTTAATGCGTCGCTTCTCGCTTAAGCGAGAAACGCTTTTCTAGTGTGAGTCGCTTTTTTCCAGAAAAGCGTAACCCCTGCGCCTCGCCTCGCCTCGCCTCGCTTCGTCGCTTAAAGCGAGAAGCGAGCGCTTTTAATAACCCTGGATATATGAATATCTTATTAAAAAAAGAAAGAAAAGAATTGGTTGTATGAATATCTCTCATGGTGTTGCATTTTAGTATTTTGATTTCCGCTTACCCACCAAAAGGATACAATTTCTAAGACAGTAGAGATTCTCAGTTAAGTGCTCAGATATGGATATGATACCTATCAAAAACAATATATTGTTTGTTGACTAGAGAACAATGTGGATTTCCTATATTGTTCTTTTCCTCCATGTTAATATGAAGAACGTGTCACATTAAGCTTTGCATACATTTGAAATGTTCGTTTCGCTTGTGAACTTTGCGAGCCACCAGTTAATACTACAAAATGGGTTCAGTGTCAATTGGTATAGGAAGTTGCCTTTTTGCCCTTCCGTATTGCCCATTACTGGCTCCTAGCTAGTGTATATTGAATTTTGAAGAAATAATCTTCTGGTGAATACAGATTGGGAAGCTATTGCTGATCGTGCTCCAGATGAATTGCTTTTCCCACAGTACTTGCCAGAAGTCTCAAAGATTTCTTTGCAAGATTCAAAAGTTCAGGGCGTCACCTCTCAGGGCCCCAAGCGACGTGGAAGGGGTACATTTGCCTATCAGAAACAAAGTCTCTATAGTGATCAGCAGTCTGATGGGCCTGCTGTTGATGACTTTGAAGATGAAACTGTTTCCCATGCTTCAGAAGGGAGCTCTGATGCAAAAAAATGTATGGCTGCGTTCTTTTTAAGCAAGGCATCATTTGGACATCAGCTGTTATTCGTGTCATTGTTTTGGTTATCAATGCATTGCTTTTTCATTTGAGAAAAGATTTGGCTATCAGCGTATGCCTAGTCAACTCAGTTTTTCTGGTTACACCATATGCTATATTTGTTTGTGTTTCAAAATGTCACGTTAAGCTATCCAATGTGTTACTATTCTCCGTCACAGTAAGTATTAAAGATGTAAAAACATTTTCTCATTATTGTTTGATATTTTCCTTAACAGGAAAGAGGAAAAGGGCTTTCGTGAGAATTTTACTCTATTTTTATTTTTCTGAATGCAGTAATTCCTAATAGTAGGAAAATAAATGGAGCAAGCCTAAACTTCTGAATATAGTCAGTGGCGTTACACAACAGTGGAACATATGAATTATTGCTGTGTCATAGGTTTAAATGTGCACAGTCGCCTATCTGTCTTGTAACTTTTGTTAATGGTGACATGGAGATATTGTTTCTTAAAGGGCTAGAGTATCATTCAATATTGACGTAAGACTAAATATTTTATCAGAAAACAGAGGCAAATGCATTGAGTTTACTCCTACCGATTTTCCAGAATAGACTTGCTTGGATTCTACCAAATGACACTTCAGGAGATTTTGGCACATAAGTCACATTCACTAGATTGCTTAAAGACGCCTTAAGTTACTGCAAAATCTATTAGGCGAATCCTGTTTATACTTTTGTGCGTTGACTTGTATTATGCATATTAGGAAACCAGCTCTGTTTGACTGAATATACTTTATTGCTTTCTTTTCTAATTTCTGCGGCGTGTAGCTACTTGCCATTTGGTACTGTAGCAGTGAAGTGTTTTATGTTAACTTGTGATGTCGACTTGATTCTGCTGTTCCCAACCAAGTACTTCAAATTCTGTAAGCACGAGTTTGTTTGTTTTGACATATGGTGATGTAACGAGTTGAATTGGCCTTTCTTGCCTACTAATGCCGATAAAGCATGCGTAAAAATACAATGATGCGAATAAGATTAGTTTATTGTGTCTCATGTGAATGATAGACCTTGGTGGAAATTAAGAATCTTCGCTAGGTCTTAGATTCAAATGTTGAGCACTTAATATTAGAACTGTTCCCTACTTATAATGATAGGATGAGAGCACATGACAACAACAACTACTACGCCTCAGGCCCAAACAAAGTTGGGGTCGGCAATATGAATCCTCACTTCTTTCTTCAGCTCAACTCATATCATCATCATGTGAAAATAAAATAATAGTAGTGGAATGAGTCCACGTGAAGTCAGATATATTTCTCTAGAATTATGCTCACTGTTTCTGCTGAAATAATCTCCATCTTGTGCATGAGAACATTCTCATTTTGAGTTACTCCTCTTCCCCTCTGTGACTGACTTTTCCTCTCTCGCTTCTTTTATGTATTTTTGCTTTTGTAAATTTCAGTAGACTATGGAACACGCCACGTCTTGGTTCTGGCTGATTTTTCACCAAGTACTAAAACAAATGACCTCGAGAAACTGTTGGAGAAATTTAAAGACGATGTTGCAATTCGCTGGGTCAACGATACAGTTGCACTTGCAGTTTTCAGAACACCATCCCTTGGTAATTTTGTTCATTCTTTTTGTCTGTATTTGAAATTAAAATTGCTTCCCGCCAAAGGCATAGCTTTTAATGACTCTCTGTGCTTTCTTGATGTTTAATTTGTGTATTGGTGTCTTGGTTCTATTACAAAGGGAACTCTTATCCTAGTTTATTTGATTGTTAACTGCAAAGTTGAGAGTTAATATGTCTGAGTTTCTCTTCCAAATGAATTCAACTAAGTCATCAGTCCTTTACACTATCAATGACTAGGAAATTATTTTGCTTTTCTCATAGAAAAATGTATCAGATGAAATTGGAGGTCAGATTTTATATTTCTAAAGTATGGTATATGAGAGCCCTTTGGTCTAGGCTGAAAATGGGAAGGGCCAAAGGGGATGGACATCACTGTCAATAAAAATCTTATAGTCTATAGTACAGACGGAGTTTCGTTCTTGTAATGATTATAAAAAGAAGGGGTTAACTTAAATACGGAGCAAATAAATTTCAAAAGAAGCAAAAATTTATGGTTAGTCAAAATTTGATTGAACATAAATGTCACTAATGGAAAAAGAGAAGCTAATATTTAGATTTTTAGATAAGAAAATTAAAGGAAAGGTTTTCCAGCTAATCAAATGTTTCTGTCTACCTCTTTTGAAATAGGAGATGAGCACAAAGTCCTTTATAAACTTTGAGGCTTATCTAGTAAATGAAACACCATTTCATTTCAAAATCTTAAAAGAAGCAGTAAAAATGGTATGTTTTGTTTCTTTATCTTCTTTCCTGAAAAATGTTTTTGAAATGAAACCCAGATTATGGACCCTCCTTCCTGTCCCTTCTTTAAAGGTAAAACTCTTTAAAGGAGAAGTGTGAACGGGGAAAGGAGTAATTACTTCCTGTTCTAAAATACTTCGAATGGATATGCTTTGAATAGATTGATATGTTCTTCAATGTTTTGTAACCTAAAAAGATTTTTTTTTTGTCGATTTATCAAAGAAATTCCCTACCTAGAGTTTTTCCTGTTTTAGGTATGTTGACTTAGTTTATAGCTGACGGGAGACAATACAAAAAGGAAGCTCTGTCATTGTTGTGACACATTTCCTACTAAGATTACCTTCAAACACGAAGGAAACTACTTATTATTTTACTTCTACGACAGCGTGGACCTTTTTCTTCAAGGAAAAAGTAAAATAGCTAACATTAAAAACCTTACACCACACATTGGCTTGTTTTTTTTTTATTTGGTATAAAATTAATGCAATAACACAAATCTGTCCAGCGGCTTTTAGGTATGGTTTGAACCCCTGCATCCATTAAATACATGTTTAAAATCTCTGCCCAAATCAAAAGAACTATTTTCCTTCTTAAACTTGATCCCCACATCAAACATACTTGGCACTTCATTTTCCCAAACTTCTTGATGCTTGGATAGCCAAGGTTTTGGTGGTTTTGTGGTCTACTATAATGCACGTGACATCACATTAAGCGCTGTGGCTTTGATGCTTTTCTTATTTTATTGGAAATATAAGTTGATAGAAGCATTTGTGTTCTCCTAGGATTGGATTTTCTTTTTAGTTCCCAAGCCTGTGTACAATCTACTGTAAATACACAGTTATGACGAAGTTTGCTGAACATTGTATATTAAGTTCATTTAAGTTTGTCTCATACAGCTCTGATAAGGCCATACAGTTCTGATAAGGCGAGAAGAGATTGTGCTTACAGGCTCCAGGGAGATCTCTCTAGAGAAAATGTTCCAAATGACCCCACGTACCCCATCTATTTAAAATATAAAAACAAGCATTAAATGAGCACTTATATTGCAGAGTTCTATTTTCCATTTCCTTAAGAATTTCTTCGCAGCAGGGAAATATTGGATTTGAGAAGTATAGTTACTAAGAATAATTAAAAAGGAGAAAGATAAATTTCCATTGAATCATGGGTACAATGCAAACTTAATTTGGTAGTTCGAGGGTAATTGTCACGCCCCAACCTCGGGAGGCGCGACCGGTGCTCAATCGAGTGAACCCAACTGGGCAAGCCTTACCATACACTTCCTACCCACCTCGATATGAATAAAGAGACCATACTTTTGTTTATCCATTTAGACGGGGAAAGACAACACATTCTACATTGATAGTTCATTTTAAACACCACATTAAACCGTAGATAAGTTAGTTTCCAAGATCCCCATAGAGTTACAATTTATAGGCAACATAAGTTTAGAATTACAACATGGTTCGTAGACCCATCCAACCCCCATACATAACCCTCACATATGTCTACAGAGCCTCTAGGATACAAAAGATGAGTTTGACAACGCCGGCAACAAGGCCCCAGCTATACCTCAAAAGTGAAAGTCCACAATACAAAGATATACAATATAGCCCCTTGAAGGAGAAAGGGGCTCACCACGATCTTGAGAAGAGGGATGCTTCGCTACACACGACCGACACTATCCGTTATGGAGCCACCTACATTCATTTAAAAAAATGTAGCGCCCCTGGCAAAAGGGACGTTAGTACCATGAAATAGTACTAGTATGTATAACTAAACACCATCAAATTAGAAAGAACTTTCATACACAAATAA